GATCCATCGTTGTAAACAGAGACGACAAAAAAATGCTTAAAATTCAATAAAGGAAACCCCAAATTTAGTTCGATCGAAACTATGGTCAATAACTCTAGGCTTTATGCATTATCTATAAACAATTTCGAATTCGTTCACTGGAAAACTGCCTCAAACAAACCGGTTGCAAAGCATAGTCTTTAAAAGCTGAGCGTAAATCAATACACAGCGTTTGGTGCTTAGAAATAATGAATTGGAAATGTGTAAAAGAATGTATATTTTTCCCTTGAAAAACGTAAAATGTTGCGGTAATTGCTATCTTTCGGAGAAGAATTGCCGAATGTTTGGAAACCTAGCGCCATGAGAACGATTTCGATTTTTACCGAAATTCTAAGGCGTTTGATGTAAAATAACTGAAATAAACTGTCTAGAATGATTTATTGCTTAAATTTGAGAAACTTTGAATATGACTTTTGTTAGCAAAACCATCTCCTAACAGAAGGAAAAAAATATTATTTTCAGTAGGAAAAAAAAAGTTTTGAAAACTTAATACAATAGGATATTGTAATTTTATTATAGTCAATATTATAAACAGAGGAATAGTTTTTATGTTATGTTTAGTGTTTACAAAAATCATGTTTGCAATAATTCCAGCCCAAAATGCAAGCATTCAGTGTAATATTTAAGCAATTCAATCCAAAGCTTTATTCAGTCGAATAATTTAATAAATCAGCGGACTTTTCTTTGCCAATACAAAAAATCGAATAGTTTGTATTAATTTAAGTTATATATTTCATTTTATTAAAATAGAGACTGCACTGAGGAAAAAGTATGGTCCAAACTATCAGAATATGCTATTTACCATGTTTCTGGCTCTATGGGAAGACCAAAAGCTTTGTCATTTTTTGCGAATCGCTTTGTTAATGATTTTGATAAAACTATCAATAAAGTATAATTTTATAATCAGTGATGAAATTTGGTATATGTGATACAGTTCGGAAATTTTACCTTATCATGATCCCTTAAAGAATGGCAATTATTCGACTAAATTTACTCTTCAGTTTTGCATGTTTCACTAAATGTGAAGTAATAAGAACTAGAATTTTGAAAACTAGAATTTCTAGTAAACTATTACCATATGAAAGGAAAAATTCTAACTGAATAGTTAAAATAGCGTATCTTTTGGCTTTATTACCCAATATCATGGTAACTTCACCAGTGAAGTCACTATATAGTACGGCAATTTCCTCAGAATTTTTTCTACCTGTGTCATGAAAAAACAATGCATTAGAACAAGTACATATCAGAAACAGCTAATATAAATATTCATTGTAGTAATAATTCGACAAAGTATATTTTTGCAAATCAATGCAGATATTAATTTAATCACTCAGTTAATGACTTTACATTTCATTTTGCAAATAAATAAATGTACCAAATATCTTAAAGATAAATGTGTATACTGAATGATATTAGCTAAGTTAATTCTGTTACGTATTATAATAATATTATACGAATCGAATTAGTCGAGTTGAATTTATACACCCTTATCAATAAATACAAGCTTCATAATAATGAAGCGAATTAATTTATCTTTATCCATACAAGCATATCCCAGAATTCTATTTGGAAAATATGCTTTAAAAGAAACGCTATGTTAACCAAATTACATAGAATACATATCAAGGATAAGTAACGACATAGGAAAGATGCCCTTTCCAATTGCAATATTTCTATTACTTGATGCAATGTATTTAAAAAATGATTTTTTTTTTGCAAAATTCATACAATACTTATATTGGTAGTCAGTACATGCATTTGCAATTGTAATTTAAAATAAAAATTTTATTCCCGCATTTAAAAATTCCGAATCAAATTACGGTATGAAGTACAGACACTTTTCGTGTATCAACAGATTTTCTTAAAATCAAATTTTACCGTAAAATATTATACTATAATTTTTACAGTAATATTTATTTAATTAGAGTGATTCAGTGACTTTATGGTAATTATTACTGAAAAAAGTTTGACATATTAAAATATTTATTTAACAACTTGTTCACGTAAAAATGAATTTTAAAGTAAAAAAGTACTGACAATATAAGAGCCGGTACTTTTTACCATAATTTGATTCAAAATTTTTTACAGTGCAGTCATTAATTACAAAATATAAATTTTGATGTTAGTATTAGATTTTAGAAAAGCAAGTGGAAGATAAATTTTATCTAAAAGAAATGGAAGTATTTATACTTGGCAAGAATACTTAATTAAATATATCGATGCTTATAAAAGATAATCAATAAAAACATTTAACGCAATGCTTCCATAAATCCAATTTTTCTTTGATTAAAAATATAAAATTCTTGATATGATAAGTAATAATGAAGACATCCAATCTAAACTCTCGTTAAAAGAACAAATTAATTTTAATAACAGCATATATCTCTAGAAAAATTCATATTTTACTTAATAAGGAGTCGTTTCTTTTGGTAACACTTTTTTCATAGATAGAGATATCTAAAGGTTTCAGCATGAACCAATTCTAAAATATTGAGCTTTCTAAAATATTGGCTAACGTTAATACTTTTTATTACTTTTAAAATAACTGCGTTAAAAAATGATAATTAATAAATTAAATTTATAACTTAATATTACTAATCCTAATAAAAGCAATATTAATTTCTTTTCATATCACGATCTAGTTCTACGTTTAAAAATGGCTCTCTAAATGAGACACATTTAAAATAACCATTTGAAAAGATAAATTTTTTTCAACTAATTATGTTTAAGTTTTGTTAATATTTAAAAGTAATTTGGAGATGTTTGTTAATTTCCTTTAATAAATGCTGATCATCCTAAACGAGACAGTAAATAACAACTTTGCACAAACTAAATTGAATATGATGATTATTGGGTTTAATAATTTGAAACAAAACTATTCTAAACCAAGAAACTTTGTTAAAATTTGTAAAAAAATTAAAGAGTGTAGAAAATAAAATCTGTCTTTCAAAATTTTATAGTTTCGCAGTCTCACTTTAAATGAAATTTTTATGTTAAATTACGGGGAGTCAGTAGGGCATATATCAATAATGATAAAACTGATCTTTTTCGATGTTTCTTTTCCTAGAATCTACTTATGAAATCACTTTGAAAATTTTTGAGGATATTTAAAATTATATCAGTTGCATGATGTGATAATATTGTAGCGTTAACAAGAAAACTGAGTTACGAAAGATTTTTGCCCAAAAATGATAAACAAAATTAAAAGCTGTCTGTTCATAATTTTTTTCTAAATTTCCGTTAAATATATGTATTAACAAATATTACAGTATAAACAAGTATATGTAAATATTCTGTGCGAAAAAAATGTAACGTTATCCTGCTTAGATGCTGAAAAAAACTTCGTAAAAGGTCAGAATTAGCATTATTATTAATAATTGCTTTACCGACTCCCCTTACAATTAAATATTGTTTTCTGTCCTAGCATCTATTTGGGCAATATTTAAAATTTTGCTCAAATATTTTCTTCATAAAGTAAACATTCATGTTCTAAACTAAAATAAATCTTTTCAAAAATGAATTTGTCATATTTCAGACGAAGTACACTGTCCTTTTCATCCATGTAAAAATTTCTACACATGACAACCAGAAGATTTAGATTTTATCATATATTTTATTAAATTTATTATATATATATATA